CATACCTTAAGAAATGAAGGGAATACAGGTCTTCACCATATCATATCATGAAAACAGCTATACTAACCAAGAATCCCAATAAAGCACCAGCTATGACCTCAATCACTGAGTGGCCAACAGATTCCTTCAGCTTATGAAATTTGAGCGGTTTGGATTCGTTTTCAGCACCAGAGATAACAAACAGATAATCATTCTTCATTGATGGTTCCAAAGAACTCGATTCTTCGGGCAAGCAAGTTTCAAGAATCTGTACATTTGGCGCTGATTTTGCTTCCAAATGATCTGTCAAAAGAACACCACCGTTGGAGGAACTTCGATTCAAACAAGTTTCTAACAGAACCCGATTCAGCACTTTTCCATGGACTCCAACTTCCCTTCGAACGCCCTACAATAGCCAAAGAGTTAAATAACTTAATATGGAGTAGAATGCACGAAGGACCATTGAAGTATCACTTGCATGGATAGTTCTCATTTTCCTCAGTTTTGTAAGCTACGTTTGGAATCGGGATAATGTAAGGGAGATGGGAAAAATAAGAAAGAAAATACATGTTTTTGCCTTTGGTTTTACCTTGGGAAATAGAAGGCAAATCAAATTTGATTAAGACTTTAAAACTATCTTATATTTACATCTCTTAATATTTACTCCGTATTTAATGGAAAAATATGCATAGAAAGAGTTTGACAAGTATTTTATACTGATCTATTGAGTTTGAGCCAATTTCATATTTTCTCCCAAAGTTCCACTTCATTTTACTCCCTATCTTCTTCTCCTAGCATTTCCTGGATTCCAAACAGGCCCTTAGTAGCTAGATATGACTTGAAAGGCTGAGATGTATTGATTAAAGAAATGAGATTGAAAAATGTTGACGTAGAAGTGTAGAGCAAGTAACCCAGATTGAGAATTGCTGACATAGAACTACAAATAAATTCTTAATGTCCACGTGAAACCTATTAGAAATTAGAACACCGATAGATTTGTAATGTTATATGAAACCAGCTATGAACACTTGTGAATAAACATAGTAGTGGGGGAGGCTCTACTAAGGGAGCAAAACAATCATATTCAATTAAATCATGCCTTTTCCCCTCTTGATGGGGTGGGTAAAAGAATCATATTCATAGAATCTATGATATATTTGGTGGTGGTTATTAACTGGGTTCTGTTCTTCCGAACCGGTTAGATATGGTCGAGTTGGGCTAGTTGGACTGGGCTGCAAAGAGAGAAAACCAGGGATCTTTTTGGGTGTTACCTTGCTAACATGTGAAAGAGAGTATTAGTTTCAATACAAAGTGTAGTGACTAGGTCTTATCTGACAATGTTTAACTTGATTACAAAAGATTAAGCAAATAAAGCCAAAACAAGTCAACACAAACCTGTGCATCATNTCTATGATATATTTGGTGGTGGTTATTAACTGGGTTCTGTTCTTCCGAACCGGTTAGATATGGTCGAGTTGGGCTAGTTGGACTGGGCTGCAAAGAGAGAAAACCAGGGATCTTTTTGGGTGTTACCTTGCTAACATGTGAAAGAGAGTATTAGTTTCAATACAAAGTGTAGTGACTAGGTCTTATCTGACAATGTTTAACTTGATTACAAAAGATTAAGCAAATAAAGCCAAAACAAGTCAACACAAACCTGTGCATCATACATGACAAGGGCGGCATAAACAACTGCTAAACCAAAGACTGCGTCGGAGAAACCCCTGAATTCACATTATGCTCCAATCACCAAACATGGGTATGAAACTAGACACAAAGAATAAGCAATGAAATGCAAATCTCTTTAGTTTCATCTTACAGATAAATGTACAAAAGCATAGTAGCATTCTACCTTTCCAGGCCAATGCAGGTGGCTGCTGCAACAGCTGTCTATCATTTGCAAATAGCTGAAACTTAGTAAGGTAAAACTAAAACCACAAATAATAGTAATAAAAACAACAATTATAAAAGAGAAAAAAACAACCAACCCAGTAAAATCCCACAAAATGTAGGGTCTGGGGAGGGTGCGAGTGTGCTTTGTGGGAAGAAAAAACAAAGAAAATCTTACAGAAGAGTGTGAGGAAGGGAACCCTCCAGCCTGAAAGGCTTCCCTAATATCGAAATCATGACCACGAAATAAAGCTGATGTAAAAGGTTTGGAAAGTTGCCCAATTGCCGCAGACAGAGCAGCGGCTATCAAAACCTGAATGGTGCTCATAACACGGTAAAAGGAAAACAGAAGTTCCATAAGAATATCTTTGCATGCTCAGTTGAACTATGAGCCTAATGCCAGCGAGAATAGTTTTGTTAGGAAACACTAGAGTTGATGAAGCTTTTTCAGTGATCATGCTCCTCACTAGCACCACTATTAACTTCAATTGAATATAGTAATGAAATATACAATAACAACAAACCCAGTAAAATCCACCAAATACTAGGGTCTAGGGAGGGTGGTGTACACGACCTTACTCCTACTTGATAGTAGAGAGGCTGTTTCCAAGACTCAAGACTCAAATACAAAAGTACAGACTATGGACAAAGAAACTAAAGTAGCACAAACGAAGTACGAGTATAGACAAAAGAAGCACCCATACCAACTCTAGCAACTAGACCCAAAGAACAAAAAACAAGCACAAGTTACAGATCAAGACAAAACACACAAGCATAAATTTTCATGTCTACCCAACTACTATAGTCCTAAATCTCCACATGTTCATATCTAAGGTCATATACTCGATAAGATCCTAAAGTCGTATGTTTTGTGTTATCACCTTTCTTCCCACTCTTCCTAGGTCTACCTCTACCCGTTATCGCACCTACTACCGAAAGCCTCTCGCGTCTCCTCGCCCGAGCCTAGCTTCTTGCACCTCAACACTCACATCCTTCCCCTGATAGCCTCGTTCTGGATCTTATACAAAAAGCGAAGCAACGCTTAAGAAGCTAGCAGCAATTTTGTTAGTTCAGAAGAGTGTTAGCATACCAAACGACCAAATTCATCTTGATTACCGGAGGCGAACTGATTGAATGACATTTTTTTTGCTTCACCAAAAAAATAAAGTAACAATAGAAGTGAAAACCTTTCTTTACCTTGTTGTGGAAGATATCTGTGATTCCTCCATTGCCTAGAGATGCTGATGTAAAGGAATGACCAAACGAGGAAGAAATACCTCCAATATGTGCTGCCTTGATCATTTCAATGCTGTTTTTTGGGTATTTGGTTACCATGCGAGATGAATTCATATGGCTACAGTTCGGAAAAGCAGCCGGAGAACTCCAACTCAGGCTCAATATGGTCATATCGCTGTATCAGTCTTCCTTCACCAACCAACAGGCGGCACATCCCAAACTCCTCGGGAGATCAATCTATCAAATCATCTGCTGGATTCTCAACTCATCAGATTTTAGAAATCAGAAGCGAGCTATACACAAGGGGACAAGGCAAATTGAGACATCTGAAACATCCTCCCTGTTCTTTTAACTTATTTTTCATCAAACTTTAATCATTTTCTTTACCTATTTTTTTTAAGTATTTGATAAAATAATAAAGTCTTGTCACCACTTATTTTGTAAAATTTTTGATTTAGTTTTTAAACATATATAAATTTTATTTTTTAATATTATACCAACAATCAAATAAATAGAATTGAAAATAAAGTCGATCAAATTTCGTAAACAGAACCGAGAAGAACATTATAGGAGGAGAGAGTATGAATTTGTTTGTAGAGATTTAAATTCATGATTTAATTAGTGATAAGTGGAAATGACTGACAACGAGAGTGGTTGGTAGTAAAAGTGGTTGCTAGTGGCGAAAAATGATCAACAGTTGAGAGATATCAAACCCTCATATTGATATCTTCCAAATTCGGAAGATATCGAGACCCTCTATTTTAAAGATTTATGATATCTGGAGATATCAAATTTGATATCTCATTTGGTTTCACCAAACATCATAAAAAGATTTCCATATACGAAAATATCAAAATTCATATCATGTTTGCTCACCAAACACACTTTTACTTTTGTTTTGAACAACTAAAAAATAAAAAGCCAACTTTAGTAATCAGAAAAAGGGTCTGCTTGGGGTGCCCAAAGATACTCACTATCTATCTATGTTTCACACAAACAATAAATGTATGTGTGTTTCTGAGAAGAGTGGTGCATTTACTGGTGCACATACATGGGTACATCTAGATTTTTTCCATTCGAAAATAGTGTCTTGATCTAAATTTTGGTTTTGAACAACTAAAAAATAAAGGGTCAAAATGAGCAGCATTTAGATTTGGCGGTTGGCTTCTTTTCCTTTTAACACCCTTCTTTTTTTCCTAATTTCTCCTCCATTCCAATTAAGCAATTTTTTTCTTCACTCCTACACCTTGTGCTCATCCACATCCCTTCATTGTTTAACTCATGATTTTTTTTATTAAAATAAACTACTCCGTAGTTACTAATATTTCAACGATAAATTACTATATGAGAGGAATGGTTAAATATTTTAAAACTAGAGACAGTGCACATGTATATTTATCCCGAATAATACCCAAATTGTTACACCGTACCAATTAATATCAAACTATATCTTACTGAGATCAGTACAAGTATGATATAAAATCTTAAATTACACGTTTACTATTCATATTATCAAATTTTACTCACGTTCTTGATCCATTTAACTATTTTCACTAGCCATCTGAAAACATATAGTGTTGTCACTTCTTGTTTTGTAAAACTTTTGATATATAAAAATTTTATTTTTTAGGTCCATATTAATTTTAAGATAAATTGATTTAAAAATATCTTTAATCAAACTTCGTAAACAACAAGAGACTCTTTTTGGGATAGAGGGAGTACAAAATTAGGAATAATAAACATGATTGAAAGAAAGTTCCCAAACTAAATGTAAGAAAGCCAGTAAGATGTTGGACAAATTAGTTAGCCAATCAAAGGAGGAGTACTGACTCATGAATCACCGTATAAAAGCTTCATATTTCAGGGGAGCTTTTTGTCAAGGTAATTGAGAACAAAGGACAATCTCATATTAATTTGAGCTTCGATCACAACAACATGGACATGTTGGGTTGATCATGATCATACATATAAATAGGTTATGGCTATCTTCTAGAAGAATTTCGGCCGCACTTTTTTTTAAATTATATTTTTCAACATTTTTCTTAGACTCGATTAACGGGGCATGTGTCAGCCCTTCATTTCTGTTTTTGTGACTTCAAATGAAAAACTAGCTTCTCTCAGGATTTTAGTTGCATCCTCTGGGAAGACAGGATTTATATAACATCCCGTGCCTAACTCGAAACCTCCCACCCCAGATAGCTGGGGCACTATTTGGAGATACCAGTGGCAGCTCGGTAAACACGAAGGATCGAAATTGAATGGAGAGGTGTGAATCATGAAATTGAATGGTGGGTTGTTCAGCTGCGAGGACATCTTCAAGAGCATCAGTTTCAACTGCCCCGCGAGATCAAATGCCTGTACATGAATTGCAAAAACAAGGCATCCATCAAACAAGGGCAATGGCAGGGAATGAAATTGTTAAGATCGAAAGAAAAGGTAGTCATGTTCAGATGTACTCTTGTGTAGGCAATAGTTTTGTGCAAAATGGTTATATCAAACTTTAATATTTTACATGAATCTTTAAATGTTGAGTGAATTTCCAAAATGGTCCTTTATAATGGAGCGTTTTTCCCAAATCATTCCTCAATAGCAATAAGTCCCTATGTGGTACTTTATAATTAAGATTTATTCCCTTGGTAATCCTCCGTAAAAAAATGTCCATCATATGGCTATTAAGTGTAAATGTGCAATCAAATGGCTTTCATCATCTAAACTTATTTCATGCAAGCAAGAAGAGAATAGTAGCACTTTAGAATTTAGATACCTAAGTACGTAACTATTGTGCATGGATGTGCTAGTATTAAAAGATGATTAAACATTCTGTTCGTATTTGGAAACACTTCAAACTTCATTCAGTTTTCACAAAGTAAAATCGCTGCTATAAGTTTCGGGGACAGTAAAATCATCAATTACCTTCTCACTGTCCAGTTCATGAAAATAGGCAGAGTGATCGCGAGGGATAATCCATATCTCAAAGGGAAAGTTAGCAGCAAATGGAACCATTGATGTGAAATAGGCTGATTCACTGATTATAAGGTCATCAGCACGAACATTGCAGAGTGAACAGCTCCCTGTTTGTTGGAAATATTCCTCCATACTGCTGAGACGTGCAGAAACGGTGGGAGGAACAATAGGAAGAGCAATGATCTGGCTGTGAGAATGACTCATGGATGCTCCAGCCGAGGCCCCATGGTTTTTGAAGACCTGCAAGTTAAACCCCGCGTTCAACAATAAAATAAGTTCTCAAGATCAGATAAATCTGGCAACAGTTATTAACTTCAGTATAATGCATTTGGAACTGTGGAAATTCAAAACAATGCACAAGTCGTAAATATATTATGCCATTAAGAACCAGAGGTTTCTTCATAAATCCTAGGTGGTTGGATCTTATGGCAAAAGTTCGGCTTATATATTATTTGAAGATTTAGAACTCTCAACAGAGTAAAAAAAACTGCGAAGAATAACTATCAAACATTTGTTACAGAAATTCATCATATTCCAAGTGAACTCAATGCCTATTTAAGTTGATCTTGGCAATAAAACTCTAGCTCTAGTCAATGTCATCTCATAAGCTTTTCCTATGATTCTCCTTCAAGTTTCAACATACATTTCAGGCATCATCCCAAGAAAACAACACACGAACAAGTCTTTATTAAGACATATAAGCTTTGATCAATGTCTTCTAAGCTTTATTTTTATATTGTACATAATATGAAGTATAAATGTATAATAAAGCTCTGATCATTTGGGTTAGAAAAGTAAACTTTCAATTGTTTCCAACTCCTTCCAGTTTCTTCCAACTTCTTCCAGTTTCTTTAACTCCTTCAAGTTTCTTCCAACAACGACTAAAAAAAAGTATTTACATATGATATATATACAATAACATCATATATCCAAATTTATAACATATCACCTCAAACGCAGACAGAGATGAATTATCTTTTCATCCAAAATTAGTTTTCTTACATCTTTATTTGGGTGATTATTTAATTGAGTGATTTTTTTAACACTATCTTTTCCAACATTTTCCAAACTCTTTCCAGTTTTTCCCCCCAATTTCTTCCCGTTTTTCTTAACTCCTTCCAGTTTCTTCCAACTTCTTCCGAACATCCAACTATGTTTTTACAGCCCAAACGGACAGAACCTAAGTTAATATCCAATGTGCAGATTGTTGTGATTGTTATTTGAACCGTCCTAAAAGAACATATGCATTGTTCAGGGATGAAATGATTAGTATTCATAGAAGGCTGTGTGCTGCTAATACCAAGTAACGAGATGGGGAGGGAAAAGCTTGAAACCTGAACATATTTGATGGAACCATTGATGCGAATCTGGTCGATCCTAGTTTTGAAAGCCAGAAGAACATCCCTGATCTGAGCCTGCAAAAGATCACTAAGATGAACGGAGTGAAGCGGCGACTCAATCACCACATCGTGGAACCCGAATCCGCTCACTGAGACGTCTCCGACCAATGAATCGTTGCGATTCTCGTCCTGGAAACGCAAGTCCCTGTTGAGCGCCGGGTAAAGATTCTGGATGACTCTGATTCCCCAATCGGCGGAGGAATCAGCTGGGACGCGGAATATCTCGGGCGCGCATTCGTGCTCGTGACCCTTGCAGAATGGGCACTCCGATCGGTCGTTAGAGTTAGGGCTCGATTTCGCCTTGAAGTCTGACGGCCGTCTTGATCTCGCCGGTGAGAATATCACCCACCGGTCGTTGATTCCGTCCTTCCGGATTTCGGGGCTCCGGCTAGAAGATTCTGCTTCCGCCATCTTTAGTTTTGCACTCCGAATCCAATCCTGCGTTTTTTGTAGAGTGACAAGGGTCATTAACTTGCTTACTTTCCCATGAAAGTCATTAAAACATTTCTCTAGTTAATGCATTCGGTTCGCTTGTTCTAATCTCATTTGATTTTTTAAAATTCTGATCCGATTTGACCTGATCTGATTTGATATGGAGTTGATTACTATTAAATTTTTTTATTATACTAGTTATAATAATAATAGAAATGTTAATAATAATAATAATAGTAATAAGAATAGTAAGAATAAGGGAGACCTAATATTAGTCCCAATCAGGGAGAGTCGTATGAAATACTCCCGGATCACACTAGCTGATGTTGACAATTACCGATGAAAATCGCAGAAGTCCATTGGTTTCTTCCTTACATCAACTCTTATATAATGAGTACTCAACTCACTCAACTTCTCACTATTTTTTCTCATTCTTTCTTTTATTCTGTTGCTCTGAGTGTGGAGAACACAGTGGTGCTATCCGGAGAGTGTGAGGTTGCCAGAAGTTTTACCAAAAAATTTCTAAAACCTGCATATTTTAGTTTGAGGTAAGCCCTTAGATGTATCTAGTGATTATAATGTGAGTATAGATCGTTTCTACGTTTATAAGCGGTCGTTTGGTTGAGTTTCGTGCTTGACATGCTTGATGAACTAAGAAATATAAACCTTTAAATTGTTGTTAAACTTTGAATTAATGGTACTAAAATGAGCTATGAACGTCGGATAACATTTCTATGTAATTTAATTCAACACAAATACGACTGTTAACTCGAGATCATGAGAAGGATAATTACATTCATGAGGTTTTAACTATCTTGAAGCATAAGCTACGACTTTACATTTTTGCATAAGTACATGTCCCATTTCATTATGAGATGCATCACTGAAGATTGTATAGTCCACACATTCTACTGGTTCTATTAGTATATGTGCTTCCGTTAAACATTCTTCAATCGCTCTAAAGTCTTCTGACACATGTTAGTTCACTCAAATTTGACGTCCTTCCTTAGAAGTTTATTCAGTGAAGTTGAAATAGTGGAAAAACCTTCAATAAAATGACGATAGTATCCAGCTAATCCAAAAAAACTTCTCACTTCACGAACATTCCTCGGAGCTTTCCATTCTATGATGGCAGATACCTTGCTAGGATCTACTTTAATACATTTACTTGAAATTACATAATCCAAGAATGTGACTTCACTGAGCCAAAATTCACATTTTGATAACTTCACGCAAAGTTTGTGTTCCCTTAGTACACCCATTAATTTTTTTTGGGATAGTATATCCATTATTATTTTCAAATATTTTACATAATTATCTTGAATCTTTAAATACAATAAGATATCATCGATGAACACAACTACAAATTGATCTACAAATAGGATATCATCGATGAACACAACCATCACTTTGATTTTTTTTTAAAAGAATCTTCAAAACGACATCGTTTTAGATGTGTTGTGCATCGAACCAAAACGAACGCCATTTTTTTGGGTGTTTTAATATGGTCCCTTTCTCTATGACTTTGAGGGCCATCCTCATTCAAGGTTGTAAATACCCAACCCAACCCAACAGGCAAATCGCCCCCCGCTTACTAGGCACTTTTTCCATTCGAATCACTTTCCTTGTCCGCTAAATTTGCGGAGAGTAATATATCCGCGACATCTCTGCATTCCTTCCGCGAGAGCGAACGAAGCTCGCAGGTCAAAGGAAGAGGATCAACAGTGCGACTGATCTGCGTCGAACAACGAGGAACGAGGTTCGATTGATTCCTCTGCTTGATCGACACTCAGGTTAGGGTTTTATCACTCCGATTTTTTTTGTAATTTCTGACTGTGCGATTTTATTTATGTGCGATTGATTTTCGCTCTTGTTGCTCAGATTCAGGTCGATTGATTTTCAGGTTTCTTGTTCGAATTTCTTCAAACTGTTCCAATCTTTTTGTTCGAATTGTTCAAGTGTGCAGTGTTAAACTTTCTGCATTTTAGTATGTCAAGTAGAATTAGTAAAATTTGTCAATGTTACCACAAAGTTAACAAAGCTAATTGAGTGTTTGAGTTGCCTTGGTACACAGTAATCATTTGTCACATTTGACATTATGAGGCCCCCTGTCCCAAATTTCCTGTCCGACCCCTATAGGAATGCCACCTCACATAAAAACTCTCTTTTTTTTCAATTCCTAAATGTGTTAGGGTATGAGCATATCAATCCAAATGCAATTAAATTATGACCACCTCAATCTCTTTGATAAACATGATTAGAATATTTTAATAAGACCATAGTTGTGAATGGCGAATGGCGAGTGGCGGGCGAGAGGTTCTTTTTTATGGCGAGAAGCGTGGCGAGCGGCGGGCGGTCAAATGGCGAACATTATATAAATAAATAAATTAATATATATATATATATATATATATATATATATATATATATATATATATATATATATAGTTTAAGTCTAAACTTTTAGTCTTAACTTTGTATCAAACATAATTATCAAAGTAAAACATGAGTTATTGGTAAAACTTAAAACAAAAAACAACATTTAGTACTTAAAAAGAAAGCAAGATATTTAATCATAATCCTCATCCGTCAAATCAAAGCCACAAAAAAACAATAAGAAAACAAACAAAAAAAAGGATTGAGTGACCTGCGAAGTGTGGAGTCGGCTCTGAAACTGCGAAGAAGTGACTCGGCAGAGAGGGAAGAGGATCTGCGCCGGCCGAGGACAACTTCAGGAGGGCATGTGGCTGAGTCTGGCGACGAGAACGGCGAGGAGAATTTGATCGACGGCGAGGGGTAGAGGCAGAGGCGAGTCTGATGAATCGATAAAGTCCTTTGATCGTCTAGTGATATAGGTCAGGTCAGCGGACTTTTAAAAAAAAGTCAATAAAAACACTTGACCGGTCTGGCGTACATAGCGAACGCCTTTCGCCACAGCCCTTGGCGACGATGGCGACGCCTATGGCGAGAATGGCGTAAAACGCCTCGCCAGGCTAGAGGATGGCGTCAGAAGGCCGCCACAGAGCCATAAGCGCCTTTGGCGAGAATGGCGAGCGCCATTCACAACTATGAATAAGACAAAAAAGTTTGATAAAACAACAAAAGAAGTTTATGTTGTGATTAACAAGGCGTGACTAAATTTATTTTTATTTCCTTTTATTTAAAGGGTTGTGCTAAATCGACGCCTCATTTGACTAAATCAAACACATTTATGGTGGACCTAAGCAGGGGCGGACCCAGAAAATATGTGTAGTGGGTTCATAAAAATTTTAAAAAATAAAGAATAAACAAAGACTAAGAGCATGTTCTTTAGGACTGGAAAAAAAGAGTTGAATGTTGGAAGAAATTGGAAGGAATTGGAAAAACTGGAAGGAACTGGAAGAACTGAAAGAAACTGGAAGGAATCGAAAGAAACTAGAAATTAAGAGTTCAAGCTCTAAAGAACAGGCTCTAAATGTAATTAATATTAAATCATACAATGTACCGAAGTCATACTACATAACAAAAACAAACATTACAATATCATATTTCTATGTTCCGTTGAAAATATTACAAAAAAAGGAAAAAATTATAGAGTTGCAAATGAATATGAAAAGTTTTTTACAAATAAAAATTGGGACTCATTAGTGGCTTAGCAGTTTGCACAGTGCAATAAAATACTCTCAAGTTTAAAGCGGTAAAATCATAAATACAAAGCATACACAAAACCAACTAAATGCAGTGGCTCATGCCTCAAATAGTCAAATTCACGGTGAAATTAAACTCTCCATTAAAAAATAGCCCTTAGCTCAGTGCCTCCCTCCGCCAACCCGCCACGCCATCGCAAGCCAACCACCCTCCTCCACTCCTCCGGTGCCTTCCCGCATGCGGCCGCAAAGAAAATCGATAGAGAGCAGCAATCCGGACGGAAATTTGTAAGGATTAAGATTCAATTTGATCGAGATTTCGAGGGTTTGAATGTTTGAGATTGAGAGGACAACAACTCTCCCGTCTATGTAACTTGATAAGGTAGGGCTTGTGGTTTTGAGTAGTACTCCGTATTTTTTTTTTTGAGTGACTGCAGGTGACGCCACTTGCATCATAGTGGGTCCGCCCCTGGACCTAAGGTCCACAAATCATAAGCCTTTTTTTTTGTAAAAAAAGAAATAAAAAATGCCTCTTATGTGAGAAGCAATTCAAACCCAGTAGAATCCAACAACAGTATGGTCTGGACCTTAGGTCCACCATAGAAGCACACTTATAATAAATGGGCAGGTTTACCCTTAAATTAATTCACATATTCTCGTTTTGTTTTTTTAACACTTAAAGGTTAAATTTATCCATTCATGATAAAAGGTGTTGATGTAGCCAAAAGAAGTGAGCATTTAGCGACACCCTTATTTAAATACTAAACTTTCATTGATGAAAACTAAAGTTTTTTTTTCAATATATATTTTAAAACTATAGCAAAAAGCTTACAAGCTATGGAATAAGATGTGGTTGGATAATATTATGTTAACAAATTATTAACAAAACTTTTTGTGAAAATTTATTTAATATTTTAACAAATTGTCAATAATTTGTTTAAATGATATTTTGTAAAAGACTTTCAACAAATACCAAAAATGATTTAATTAGGTTTATCTTCCAAAAGATTTTCAAGATTTTTTGTTACTTTCAAGAATTTGCAAAGACTTTTAGCAATATTGTCAAAACACATCTTAGTTTTTATCTCATTGTTGTAGATTGTTGCTACAATTTTTAAATATATATGGAGAATATACTTTATTTTTCATCAATATTTAAATACAATAAAAAAGGAAATGAAAATGAATTTAGTCAAACTTTGCTAATTGCAACATAAACTTATTATTTCTATTTTATCAAACTTCTGTTATCTTGTTAAAATATTTTATTCATTTTATCATAATCTAAAAATCCAAAAATTTGTGGATTGCAACTTATGGAGTATTTTAAAAAATGTGAACAACAAAAGTCTTTAAAATTGAAAAATAATCTAGGGAAAATTAAAAAAGAAGATGAAAGGATCAAGAGGGGTGAGGGAGTGATCATTGAAT